TTGTAAAATTTCTGTTAAGAAGGAAAGCAAGTGTTTTTTACCAGAGTCAAACAAATAATTACAGGCAAGAAATGAATAGGTGGAATTTTAACTGCTGTCTTAATTTGGAAAAGACCTTCAACGAGTGCCTTGGGATCTCAGTTCAGGATGTGAGGATAACCTGCAATAATAACAGCCTTGCCTTTCAGTAAAATTTAGCTCTATTGTATTAAATTCTGAAATGCAGATATGGTAAGGACATAACAGAAACAGAAGAGATTAAGAAGAAGTGGCAAGAATACACAGAAGAACTATACAAAAATGGTCTCAGTGACCTAAATAATCACAGTGGTATGATCACTTACCTAGAGCCAGACATCATGGAATGTGAAATCAAGTGGGCCTTAGGAAGCATCACTACAAACAAAGCTAGTGGAGGTGATGGAATCCCTGTTGAGCTATTTCAAATCCTAAAAGATGATGCTATTAAAGTGCTGCACTCAATATGTCAGCAAATTTGGAAAGCTCAGCACTGGCCACAGGACTGGAAAATGTCAGTTTTCATTCCAATCCCAAAGAAAGGCAATGCCAAAGAATATTCAAACTATACACCATTGCACTCATCTCACAAGCTAGCAAAGTAATGCTCAAAATTCTCCTAGCAAGGCTTCAACAGTATGTGGACTAGGAACTTCCAGATGTTCAAGCTGGATTTAGAAAAGGCAGAGGAACCAGAGATCAAACTGCCAACATCCACTGGATCATAGAAAAAGCAAGAGAGTTCCAGAAAACATCTACTTCTGCTTTATTGACTATGCCAAAGTCTTTGACTATGTCAATTCCAACAAACTGTGGAAAATTCTTCAAGAGATGGGAATGCCAGACCACTTGACCTGCCTCCTGAGAAATCTGTATGCAGGTCAAGAAGCAACAGTTAGAACCGGACATGGAACAATGGACTGATTCCAAGTTGGGAAGGGAGTACCCCAACGCTGTATATTGTCACCCTGATTATTTAACTTCTGTGCAGAGTACATAATGAGAAATGCTGGGCTAGATGAAACATGAACTGGAATCAAGATTGCTGGGAGAAATATCAATAACCTCAGATATGCAGATAACACCACTCTTGTGGTAGAAAGTGAAGAGGAACTAAAGAGCCTCTTGATGAAAGTGAAAGCAGAGAGTGAAAAAGCTGGCTTTAAATTCAACATTCAAAAAATGATGATCATGGCATCCAGTCCCATAATTTCATGGCAAATAGATGGGGAAACAATGGAAACAGTGACAGATTTTATTTTCTTGGGCTCCAAAATCACTGCAGATGGTGACGACAGCCATGAAACTAAGACACTTCCTCCTTGGAAGAAAAGCTATAACTAACCTAGACAGCATAATAAAAAGCAGAGACATTACTGACAAAGGTCCATCTAGTCAAAGCTATGGTTTTTCAAGTAGTCATGTATAGATGTGAAAGTTGGACCAGAAAAAAGGCTGGATGCCAAAGAACTGATGCTTTTGAACTGTAGTGTTGGAGAAGACTCTTGAGAGATCCTTGGACTGCAAGGAGATCAAACCACACAATCCTAAAGGAAATCAACCCTGAATATTCATAGGAAGGACTGATGCTGAAGCTGAAGTTCCAATACCTGGCCACCTGATGCCAAGAGTTGACTCATTGGAAAAGACCCTGATGCTGGGAAAGACGGAGAAAGGGGCGACAAAGGATGATATGGTTGGATGGCATCATTGACTCAATGGACATGAGTTCGAGCAAGCTCTGGTAGACAGTGAAGGACAGGCAAGCCTAGAGTGCTACAGTCCATGGGATCAAAAAGAGTCTAAACAACAATTGTATTAAATCATGAAAGCTGTGACAACAAGATGAACTGACCACTCCTGAGTGCCTTCTATGCCTCAGGTGCTGTGCTATGCAATCTACACCTATTAAGTGATTCCTATGGGTTTGATAATATTTAATAGATGAGAAAACAGGTTTAAAGAGGCAAAGTAACTGTACTTTTAGTTATTAAAGCAACTGAACTGCCTCGTCATTAGGAATACAAAGACAAGCCTCACCTGTACTGCAGTTTTTATATTTAACTCAGTAAAGATTTGAGAGGTAAACCTATGAAGCACTGAGATCAGGCTTGGGGGAAGATGGGAAGAGCAAGGTAATTACTAAGACTCTTGACTTGTCCCAAGAGGCTGTGTAATTGGGAGAGAGAAGAAATGGACCAGGTAAAAGGGAGAAAGGATACAGCCAGGCACGGTACAAAGCCTCGGGAGAACTTTGGCCAAGAGGACACTGATCCCTAAGAGAGGATGTGGGAAAGCTCAGAGGTGCAGTCCGCACTGAGCTGAGTGAACTGCAGGAGGAGACAGGGAAGCGGGCGGGTTCCCAATTCTGTCACCATTCTTCAACAGCGTAAGTTCACGACGCTTAGCAGACAGTTTGAGCCCAGGCGGGAGCACTCTCAGACAGAAGATCAACATCTGAGGGCAAACCCCTGGCAAGGGCACGCTGTGCAGAGCCAGTGCAGTGGAGGAAGGAGGCGGAAGGAGTAGGTTCTGCGTGAGTGGCGGGGGTAGGCGGTCGGTGTGGAGCGTGCCTTCGTAAAATAAGGAGCCAACATTCAAATCCCGGGAGATCTCTTACTGAACTTCAGCTTTTTTGGCCACTCTAGACAAATCAAAAGGCCTGGCACCTGGCCTGCACACCCTCCTATTCTGAGTGGCAGCTCCTCTGGGGCTAGATCATGCTCTCTCCATGTGTTCCAGCCTCCTCGCCCCCTGTGGTTTTCACCCGCTGACCTCATTTCTTCAAGCTGCCTGCCAGGGCCCTTGAAGGGCCAGCAGGGGGATGCTGTCACTTGGCTGAATCTCATGGTGAGTCAGAGGACTAAAAAGGTCCACAGGTTCTATGCTTAAATCTTGTTGCTACGATTTTACTACCTGTTACCTTAGCTTCCTCATCTGTTAAGTGGGCATAATAGTATATTCAAATCTATAACAACCACTCAGTGTGTGTAATTTGCTTAGCATAGCATCTGGACCCATCAGCTCAGTTCAGTTGCTCAGTCATGTCTGACTCTTTGTGACCCCATGGACTGCATAACAGCAGGCTTCCCTGTCCATCACCAACTCCCGGAGCCTACTCAAACTCATGCCCATCGAGTCAGTGATGCCATTCAACCATCTCATCCTCTGTCACTCCCTTCTCTTCCTACCTTCAATCTTTCCCAGCATCAGGGTTTTTTCCAATGGGTCAGTTCTTCACATCACGTGGCCAAAGTATTGGAGCTTCAGCTTCAGCATCAGTCCTTCCAATGAATATTCAGGACTGATTTCCTTTAGGATGGACTGGTTGGATCTCCTCACAGTCCAAGGGACTCCAACACCACAGTTCAAAAGCACCAATTCTTCAGCCTTCAGCCCTCTTTATGATCCAGTTCTCACATTCATACATGACTACTTGAAAAACCATAGCTTTAACTAGACAGACCTATGTTGGCAAAGCAATGTCTCTGCTTTTTAATATGCTGTCTAGGTTGGTCATAGCTTTTCTTCTGAGAAACAAGTGTCTTTTAATTTCATGGCTGCAGTCACCATCTGCAGTGATTTTTGAAGCCCAAGAAAATAAAGTCTGTCACTGTTTCCCCATCTATTTGCCATGAAGTGATGGGACCAGATGCCATGATCTTCATTTTTTGAATGTTGAGTTTTAAGCTAGCTTTTTCACTCTCTGCTTTCACTTTCATCAAAAGGCTCTTTAGTAAAGTCTTCTTCACTTTCTGCCATAGGGTGGTATCATCTTCATATCTGAGGTTATTGATATTTCTCCCAGCAATCTTGATTCCAGTTCATGTTTCATCTAGCCCAGCATTTCACATGGTGTACTCTGCACAGAAGTTAAATAATCAGGGTGACAATATACAGCGTTGGGGTACTCCCTTCCCAACTTGGAATCAGTCCATTGTTCCATGTCCGGTTCTAACTGTTGCTTCTTGACCTGCATACAGATTTCTCAGGAGGCAGGTCAAGTGGTCTGGCATTCCCATCTCTTGAAGAATTTTCCACAGTTTGTTGGAATTGACATAGTCAAAGACTTTAGCATAGTCAATAAAGCAGAAGTAGATGTTTTCTGGAACTCTCTTGCTTTTTCTATGATCCAGTGGATGTTGGCAGTTTGATCTCTGGTTCCTCTGCCTTTTCTAAATCCAGCTTGAACATCTGGAAGTTCCTAGTCCACATACTGTTGAAGCCTTGCTAGGAGAATTTTGAGCATTACTTTGCTAGCTTGTGAGATGAGTGCAATGGTGTATAGTTTGAATATTCTTTGGCATTGCCTTTCTTTGGGATTGGAATGAAAACTGACATTTTCCAGTCCTGTGGCCAGTGCTGAGCTTTCCAAATTTGCTGACATATTGAGTACAGCACTTTAATAGCATCATCTTTTAGAATTTGAAATAACTGGAATTCCATCACCCCACTAGCTTTGTTTGTAGTGATGCTTCCTAAGGCCTACTTGACTTCAAATTCCATGATGTCTGGCTCTAGGTGAGTGATCACACCATCATGGTTATCTGGGTCATTGAGATCTTTTTTGGACCTATAGAAAGCTTTAAGTAGAGGTCAGCTCTTATTATTGCTAACTGTTGTTCTAGTGTTTGGTCAGTGGGGGAGTTTGCCTTTGGGCCTCCAATGTAAGTCAAGAAGATCCCCTGGAGGAGGGAATCTCAACCCATACCAATATTCTTGCCTGGAAAAATGCCACGGACAGAGCCACCTGGCGGGCTACAGTTCATGGGGGTCGCAAAGAGTTTGACATGATTGAGCAACTTAACACTTTTTTTTTTCAGTTACCTCCCTTAGAGAACAGTGCTAATGGAGCCAAGGTTTTCCATTTGGGGCATATGGGGGGGGGGGCGGTGCGGGGGTTGGGGGGGCAGTTGGTTGTGTACTGTTTCAAAAACATTTCTGCAACCCTGACTTAGCCAGGCCATCTCACTCACCTGTCATTATTCCAAAAAGGTACCAGAAAATAGTCTAGAAAAGCATTCATTGACAAAGGAGTTGGTGGCATCTCTTTTGCAGACCAGGTACAACCATTTCTAAAAACAAACACAAAAAACAACCTCCAATCTCTGTTGTCCTAAGGACTTATGCCATCTGCACATTAAATCCAACCAAACTCTATTCTGTCTATCAGAGACTAGGTTGAAGACAGTAAAACGCCCTTTTCATGATAACACTGTAGACAAGATTAAGGGCAGAAGAGAGGTATTAATACATTTACATACATGAATTTTATATTTATAGCTATAATTATTCTTCAGCTAATAATAACCTGAGTTAACATTCACTGAACAGACAGGGACTGATTGCAGGAGAAGAGGAGGGTGGTAAGGTGTGGGCTGCCAAGATTAATCCAGGAGGCATTTTTAGCTTGTACTGTGTAAATCCTACACAGGATGATGGAGACTGGTCTCCCTTGAGAATTGTATAACCACAAAGTGGCGAGACTCAGGGTGGTACCTCTTCTATTCCTTTCCCTGCTGTAGCACAGAGGCTGCAAACAGGGGCCAGACTCCCCAGTTTCAAATTCCACATCCAAGCAAGTCACTTAAGTTATCCAATTTCAGTTTCCCCCATGTGAAATTCCTCCTACCCAGGGTTGTTATGAGTATAAAACATATAAGTGCTTAGCAAAGAGCCTGACATACAGTTAACATTCAAAGCTAGACATTTATGTCACTATAATTAATTAAAGGTCAGTTCAGTTCAGTCGCTCAGTTGTGTCTGACTCTTTGTGATCCCATGAATCACAGCACTCCAGCTCACCAACTCCTGGAGTCTACCCAAACCCATGCCCATTGAGTCGGTGATGCCATCTAGCCATCTCATCCTCTGTCGTCCCCTTCTCCTCCTGCCCCCAATCCCTCCCAGCATCAGGGCTTTTTCAATGAGTCAACTCTTCACATGAGGTGGCCAAAGTACTGAAGTTTCAGCTTCAGCATCAGTCCTTCCAATGAACACCCAGGACTGATCTCCTTTAGGATGGACTGGTTGGATCTCCTTGCAGTCCAAGGGACTTTGTACTCCTTTTCCTATTTGGAACCAGTCTGTTGTTCCATGTCCAATTCTAACTGTTGCTTCCTGACCTGCATACAGGTTTCTCAAGAGGCAGGTCAGATGGTCTGGTATTACCATCTCTTGAAGAATTTTCCACAGTTTATTGTGATCCACACAGTCAGTCTCTCTTTTTTTTAATATTGAAGTATAGCTGTGGTGCTGAAGAAGACTTTTGAGAGTCCCTTAGACTGCAAGGAGATCAAACCAGTCAATCTTAAAGGAAATCGGTCCTGAATATTCATTGGCAGGACTGCTGCTGAAGCTGAAGCTCCAATAGTTTGGCCACCTGACTCGAAGAGCCAACTCACTGGAAAAGACCATGATGTTGGGAAAGACTGAAGGCAAAAGGAGAAGAGGGTGACAGAGGATGAGATGGTTAGATAGCATGACCAACTCACTGGACATGAATTTGAGCAAACTCTAGGAGGTAAAGAAGGACAGAGGAGCCTGGTGTGCTGCAGTCCATGGGGTTGCAAAGAATCGGACATGACTTAGTGACTAAACAACAATATAGTTGATTTATAATGTTGTGTTAGTTTCAAAGTGAAAGGAAGTGAAGTCGCTCAGTCATGTCCAACTGTTTGCGACCCCATGGACTGTAACCTATCAGGCTCCTCCGTTCACAGGATTTTCCAGGCAAGAATACTGGAGTGGGTTGCCATTTCCTTCTCCAGGAGATCTTCCTGACCCAGGGATTGAACCTGGGTCTCCTGCATTGTAGGCAGACGCTTTACCCTCTGAGCCACCAGGGAAGTCCAGGTGTTAGTTTCAGGTACACAGCTAAGTGCTTCTGTTATATATATCTATTCTTTTCCCTTATAGATTACTACAAGATGTTGAGTAGAGCTCCCTGTTCTATATAGTAGGTCCTTGTTGGTTATCTATAGTTGTGGTGTACCAGCTTAGTTGCCCTGCAGCATGTGGAATCTTCCCAGATCAGGGATCAAACTGGTGTCCCCTGTGTTGGCAGGCAGATTCTCTACCACTGGACCACCAGGGAAGTCCTGGGCATTTTGTTTAAAGGGTCAAGAGATTGACCTTTGACATAGAAAACAAAGGTTACCAAAGGGGAAAGGTTGGGCAGGGGGTGCTAACTAGGAGTTTGGGACTAACATATACACATATTTTAATTCGTTTTCTATGTCTAAGCTCAAGTTCTTGACCCTCTAAACAACATGCTCAGAATGCTCAGCAGAAGTAGAAAGAATACCTTCTCTCTGGGTCCCTCTTGAGCTCCCTCTCACCTTGGAGTCTGGAAGGGAGAAGGCAGGCTTGTTTCCCTCCTCCAGGGAAATGCAGACATGAAGGCCAAGAGGATATGCAGGTGTTAGACCTGGAGGGCTCAGCTACAGAATCGCTGCAGGAAAGAAGACAAAGTTGCAGGGCTGAGAAAACAGGAGCAAAGTTGGATCTGGGCAGAAAGACAGAGGACACTCAGCAGGGGTAAGTTGCTCGTTGCTTTTACTCCGACACAAGGCCCAACGTGTGAGTGCAGTCGTTACTGGGCACCCACGGCCTCGTGTGGCTGAAAGTAACACCTTTTCCATCCTTTTACTTACAGGGAAGCATGAAGTTGGATTCCTGTTTCCGAATCTCATTAAGAGTAAACTTTCAAATCAGGTACCACGCTGAGGGCAATTTCTCAATTAAGACTAACAAAATGCATTACCTTCATGAACAAGTTTCAATATTTCAATATTCTGGATTTATAACCAGACATGGGAATAACAGGTCCGTGGAGCCTTTGACTATTAATTTTTCTCCCTAAGTCAGCTTGGAGAACTACGCCCCTGTCTTAGTCAGTATGTGCAGGTCCTAGACTGAAATCCTGGTAGGCCAAACAGAAGAGCACACTTAGCTAATGATTCTTCTCACCTCTCTCTTGACATGTGGACTCCTGAGAAATACAGTGGGTGAATTTTATGACTGACAGTAATTTATACAGGCTTTAAAGGGGGCCTTTTCTGCCTTACAGCCTCTCCTTAGGAGCGTAAAGTATTGGAGCCACAGCAAGACAGTCTAAATGCAGGGGAAGGGGTGCCTGGGGAAATCTCACTTGGACCAAGCGCATGGCCATGGATAAGCATGCTGTTACAGGACCAAATTAAGATGTCAGTGCATCATGGTACAGGCTGTCCTTCCAGGGCCAGAGGGAACCGGCCCTCCGCTGGAAAACAGCCAGGCACTCAGTAATGAGAGAGAGGCTTAGATGCTCGCCAGACAAACACAACAGGGGACGGGACAGGAGCCTCGAGAAATGATAATTAGCAACTAGAAGCCAGTGAACCAGGGTGGAGGTGAAAGGCAGTCCAGCTACTTGATTTTGTTTACCTTTTGCTGTTGACATCCGAAAAGCTTCGCACTGGTGATCCTCATGCTTGAATCTACAGTGCTTGATTGGCCTATTCGTGTAGAAATGATGATTTTGAAGACTTCATGCTTTTGTCCTACGTTCACATAACATGAGCTACAGGCACGGGTTTAGCTCTTGTCTAGATAGCCTCCAGTCTAGTTTGGGGGTTCTTGGAGGAAGTGCCCCAAAGACTTAAGCCAACACGTCTGAGAAAGGTGGAGAGGGAGTCCCTGGCACCATGCCGCTGGGACACACAGGATGTAAATTCCTGCCACTTGCTACAAACTCAGAAAAGCTCTTGAGCATTTGCATTTGCTTATGAAACATGCTCTTGACTTGATCAAATGAAAAATGATGTGAACCCTGCCCACAGGTTATTTATTCCAGCAGCAAATGCTCAGGATGTCTAAAATTCTATTATCATGGAAGCCCCTATGGACCTCAGGTTCTTTTTCTCTGAATTTAAATGAGCCCTGATGCCTTTCCATCTGTCTTCTGAGGTCATATTTTTGAATGACAGAATCATCTTGGTGGCTCTGCTCTGGGCAGTCCATGAGGAGGAGGGACCCCAGCTCTCAGGCCAGGGGTCAGCTGCCTACAGTCCATGGGGCACATGCAGTCTGCCTCTTGTTTTTTAAGTAAAGTTTTACTAGAAAACAGCCCTCCACATTTCTTGTGGATTGTCAATGAGTGCTTTCAAGCTACAACAACCAAGTTGAATAGCTGTGAGACTGGCCTGCATGGGCTAGAATATTCTCTAGACAGTCCCCTACAGAAAAAATTCCCTGTGGCATGGTCCCTTCTGCAGATGTCACTGACATCACGCGGGGAGGATGGAGGAGGAAGTATGAACTCAGTAGGCTCCTTTTCCCTTCCTTGTGCCCAGGGACCCCCACTTTCCAACTCCTCTCACTCCTACCATGGGAGTCTTTGGCCCTCAGGTTCACAGAGTGAATTATACCCAGCATTCTAGGTGGGTGCCAGGTCCTTGCTTGCTTTCCTTTATTTCATTTAACCCCTTCATCTCCAGCCGCACCCCCTGTGTCCCCTCACTCTTCCTTCCTATAGGCATGTCACTCAGAAGTGTCTGATATGCCTTAAAAAAAAGTTAGCTGTTAGTCACTCAGTCATGTCCAACTCTCTGTGACCCCATGGACTTCAGTCCACCAGGCCCCTTTGTCCATGGGATTACCCAGGCAAGGATACTGGAGTGGGATGCCATTCCTTTCTCCAGGGGATCTTCCTGACCCAGGGACTGAACCCAGGTCTCCTGCATTGCAGGCAGATTCTTTACCATCTAAGCCACCAGGAAAGCCCTGATATGCATGGACCCTTATAAAAGGTGTAATGTTGTTGATTATGTGTTTGTGTTTTTAATGTACATAAATGATACTGTTACAAGTCTCATTTCATTTTTTTCCCACTAAAAGTCATCTTCATTCAGCACTATGTTGTCAATATCTATGCTTTTTGTGTACATCTAGTTCACTGCTTCTAAGTATACCTCAAAGATTTTGGGGGAAAAGACAGACTTTTTTCTCAAAAAGTGGAAACCTTTGGTGTATGAGTTCTTTATAACACTTGTGACATAGTATCTCCCCAGAGAAGATAGAATTTTTGAAAAATAACTTGCCACACATAAAACATAATAGGGTTTACATTAATCAATAGGTTGCTCAATTTTTTTATCCTCTCTGGTGTCAATTTAGTTTTGAGGCCTTATTTCTGATAAACATTCCACATATTCTGTGCTAACCACTCCCAATTTATCTCTACAAGCTCATCTGTGGCTGCTGCTGCTGCTGCTGCTAAGTCGCTTCAGTCGTTTCCGACTCTGTGCGACCCCATAGACGGCAGCCCACCAGGCTCCCCCGTCCCTGGGATTCTCCAGGCAAGAACACTGGAGTGGGTTGCCATTTCCTCCTCCAATGCATGAAAGTGAAAAGTGAAAGTGAAGTCGCTCAGTTGTGTCCGACTCTTTGCGACCCCATGAACTGCAGCCCACCAGGCTCCCCCGTCCCTGGGATTCTCCAGGCAAGAACACTGGAGTGGGTTGCCATTTCCTTCTCCAGTGCATGAAAGTGAAAAGTGAAAGTGAAGTCGCTCAGTCGTGTCCGACTCTTTGCGACCCCATGAACTGCAGCCCACCAGGCTCCTCCGTCCATGGGATTTTCCAGGCAAGAACACTGGAGAGGGGTGCCATTGCCTTCTCCCATCTGTGGCTAGCCATTCCCAACTATATGCTGTCTATATCGGGTTTACAGTGAAAACCCAAGGTTAGGGGTTTCTCAGAAAATAAACTCACGTAGGCCTACCCGTAAATGGGCAAGAAAAAGCCAGAACGGTATGAGTCCCCAGCAGCTGCTGGATCAGCTCCACTGAACCCCAACTGTGAGAAAAACCCAGTGGGACCATGTTCCCTGTCTCATTCCCTTATCATACACTCTGTTGGGAGGGTAGGTTTGGTTCAGAAGCCTCCTCAACCCTTGGGCTCCACAACGTGTCAAGAGTTGGAGGATGAACTGAGCAGAGAATTTCCCAGATAAATGGTGTTTGATCCATGATTTTGTGTTAAACTCAAGGAAAGAATATTCAACTTTAATCAATCATTATTTTCATAAAATATGGTATATAGTTTCCTGACTAAAGCTTTTGATCACACTTGTCATGAGAATTTGTACTTTTTGTGTTGCTTTTTATATTGCTAGAAAAAAAAGAACTGTGTCTTTTGATGTACGATACATATTTAATATGAGTGCTTGCATATGTGCTCAGTCTCTCAGTCGTGTTCAACTCTTTGTGGCCCCATGGACTGTAGCCCACCAGGCTCCTCTGTCCATGCAACCTCCAGGCAAGAATACTGAAGTGAGTTGCCATTTCCTTCTCCAGGGGATCTTGCCCACCCAGGGACTGAACTCGCATGTCCGGCAGCTGCTGCACTGGAAGGTAGATTCTATACCACTGAGCCACTTGGGAAGCCCATCTAATATGAGAATAGGCAATAAAAGATAGACTAAGGATTTGCATGTATGTTTATAGTAATATTTGAATTATAATATTAATGCTATCAGACTCCTAATAGAGATCCAGAAAGCTTTTGTAGAGTATTTAATGTACCACTCAAATTACTACTATTGGCTTCCCAACCTACCCCCAAATTTTAAGGCAATGCTAATTTACATTTGGAGCAGTATATACTGAGAAGAGACAGTGGTGAATAGAAAAGGGGATGATTTCTGCAGGAGGTGATGGAATGATGTTTTTTTACTGGCCCAGGGCTTGAGGCTCTACAGAGGATGGTGACAAGGGGCTGCAGCACAGAGGTTCAGCACAGGTACAACTGTTTCCTAAATCGCCCCTATGGAGTCCAGACCAAAGCCAGTGGCAAGTCTGTTAATTAGAGAAGGGCTCCTGACAGTCCATAACTCATTGCTTTTGTACCTAGTCAATACTATCTTCAACTCAATTTCCTAGACTTATAATTGGAATAGAGGACCTGTAGTTCAGTTCATGGCTGTTTTGGTTTCTTTCTTTCTTTCTTTCTTTAGCTCACAGTGGGCTGAACAATGTGCCCCCACCAAAAAGCATACACACACAAAATCAAGCTTGTCAGAATAAAGTGACTCAGGCTAACTCTGCCTTTGTCTCTCTTTATGAATCTGACTTCTGCCCACACACATTTCAGCATTGCAGATAGACAAGCAAGCTTTCCAATCTGCAATTAACAAAGTTTAAGAGACCCTCTCTGAAATTAAATCTGGGGAGAGCTATACGTCTGGTTTATAGCTAAACAGGCTGTCCACTCATTAAATTGAAGTGCCCATCAAGATTAAGGCCAGGAGTTCCATGAAAGGAAAAGTCTAGAATGCATCAATGAGGAAAGCATGAAGCATAACAAAACTCACTTTTAAATCTTTTTTAGGATAAGCAGTCACAACAGTGAAGATTTTCACATAGGAGATGACTATTTTATTCATCCTAATTAGGTATCTTAAAAAAAAAAAAAAACTTTGAACAAGAGTCTGCTTCAGTGCCCCTGCAGAACCCAAGTACTTGGCAAGCACAGAGCAGTCAGCTATGGATCCTTCCTGGCCAGCATTTGTTCCACTGAGACACCTCCTGCTCTTTCCTGCCTCCATCCCCAGCACACATCCAGAGTTTAGTCACCTTCTTCCAGAGTGTCTTAATGATATATGTTCTGTTATTTGTCATCTTCCCACCCACATTCAGAAGTCGCAAAATATCAACTGTCATGTTTTTAAGAAAACCAATAAAATTATAACTTCTCATGTCAGCTGGGCCTAATGATCAGCAGCTCTTTTAGAACTTAGAGGATGGGTTCAAGGGAAGTCCCAAAGAGCAATTTCCTGTATGAAAAACTACACACAGAGTCTGCTGAATTTTTTTTTAAGTTGAAAGAGACTCCATAACTGACTCAAAATAACAATTTTTATTTTTAAAAAATGAAGCCTTAATTTATGAACCAGAACCTTCATAAATGCATAAGCTCAATATTTTTCACATTCACTTTTTGAAATGTATTTGCTGATTTCATGTATACCTGCACTATAACAAAGCTAATAAGAAGCAGCAGTACTCCCCGTTATTTTATGCTTTCAGATTTTGAGTTGCAGAGACTCTTAAAAATTTCAAGACTGTGTTACGTTTCAAAAGGACCAGCCTAGATTGGGAGGCAACATGAAAAGATTTCTCTCTTTGTGCCTCTTGACACTGTTTACGATATAAGCTGTGGGGCTGTTCTATCATCTTTCTCTTTCCTCCCCATTCTGCCTGGTTTCCACCCAGAGCCCTTTGGTTTTTTATCATTATGCAGTTCTGTGCAGAAAACCAAGATATATGTCTGAATTTCATGAGCAATGAATGATTAATATAGTGCTCTGCGTGGGATAGGGGAAGAAAGGTTTCTTTCCTTGATTACCATGAAGAAAAACTTCTTTGATTTAACCTCAACTCTTAAGGGCAACTAGCCTGTTACTTCTGTTAGGCTCCTAGCTGTCCTGAGGTAGAGCCAAAAGGTCAGAAAAACCCATATTGAGTTTATGAGAATATTTCC